CAACTGTTTGCCGTTGAGATGCCGCTTCAAGGCCAGAGTCCAGGGCCTTCCAGGCTGCCCTCAGCCCCGAGTGTGGAAGGGATGAAGCCGGCACTGGCTCTGCCCTTCTGCAGCTTGGGGAATAGGAACTCACCCCCTGCCCTGCCCAGGGGCCAGCAGCGGAGGGGCAGGAGGGCCGGCAGCACCGCCCCGCGTAGCCAGCAGCCCCGCGTAGCCAGCAGCAAGCCCTGTCCGGCCTATCCTAGGGGCTCACCACAGGCGAGGCAGAACCGGCAGGGCCCAGCACGGGGCACAGAGGAGGCTAGCTCCCCTCCTCTGAGGACGGCAGTGGGGGCAGGCCCGACCAGCGGCTGCATTTGAATTGCCCACCGCAGGTATGGATGCCTGGTGGGCATGGACCTGCTGGAGCCCGGACCAGGCCTCTTGGCCCAGCAGGTGAAGGGTGCCCGTTCGTTTCTGCCGGCTCCCGCGAGACTGCCGTCAGACATGGGCCGTGCCGCTTACGCCGCCCTGCACACCCGGCTGAGCGTGGAGCGTTGTCTGCTGAGACCCCACCTCCACCGTCCACTCCCACGGCCACAGCCACGTGTGGAGCTGGGCATCCCGGGACATGCCTCTCAGGACTCTGTGCCAAAGGGCAGTCTGCACCTGCCTCCTGCCCCGAGGCCCTCCACCTCCGTCTTCCCACAGCACCCTCCAGCGAGTTCTGTCCGCACCAGGCCTAGGGCTGGTGTGGAGCTGCGGGCCACGGCGGCAGGGTGGCCGGGACCTGTGTCACCCCTCGCCACAGCGCCCCGTTTCTGGCTCCCCACACACAGCGGGGTCTGTGACAGATCATGGCCCTGCACCCCCGTGCCCCTGTGTCCCCTGCTCCAGCCCTGTGCCCTGTGCCCCCTTCCTCTCCCCCTGCTTTCCCACTCCAGCCCTCTGCCCCCTGCTCCAGTACCCCCACACTGCCCCCTGCTGCCCAGTGACTGCCGCCAACCCGGGGGCCCCACACCATGTGCAGACCCCGTGACAGCCTCGGGCACTGGGTCACTGGCATGTGGCACACACTGGCCTGTCACAGAGGCCCTCAGATGCGGACCCTGGGCCTTCCCAGGTGGCACCTGTCATGTCACTGTCACGCTCCACCTGCCCTTTGTGGAGTCCTCAAACCACTTGAGACGGGCACCCCGCTTCTCACCCAGTGGGCCTCACCCAGACCACGTCCGCAGCTCACGGCTGGGGGGCAGCCCAGCACCTCGAGGTGACTGTGGAGACAGGGAGGGCCTGTAAAGGGGTCCGTGACTGAAAGCGAGGCTGTTGGGGTCTGCTCCAGTGTGCCTGCTGCCCAGATCCAATGTGGCTTGGCCAGGGAGGGGACCCTCTGCAGACAGACGCAGGGAGAAGGCAGCCCATGCAGCCAAGGGGCGGGCGCAGAGCAGGGGCCGGAGCCCCACCGCCGCCTCCCTAGGCACAGGGCACGTCCCAGAGTCCCACTGCCGCCTCCCCAGGTGCAGAGCAGGGGCCTGAGCCCCACTGCTGTCTCCCCAGGCACAGGGCACGACCCGGAGCCCCACTGCCGTCTCCCCAGGCGCCATATCGAACCCCAGTTCTGCACCTTGTTTTTTCACGTAAAATCTGTCTTGAAGATAGTTCCATATTAGTTCATAAATCTGCGGTGTGGTCTTTTTAACAACTGCCTAATATTCCAGGGTGTGGACACACGGCTCCCGGGACTTACCAGCCATGTGTTCCTGTGACAACAGCTTCAGTCAGTGCCCGTCCATGTCACTCTTGGGGACACGTGTGGTTATAATTGCAGCGCATTCTCTGGATAACACCACCGGCCACACCACACGTGCATTTAAACTTCTGACGCGGTCTGAGTCCTCACAACTGCTGCTCTGGACCAGAGCGCGGACCCTGCCCCTGCGCCCTGGAGCTTCTCCACTAGCCAGTCTGCAGGTGGGACCCGGCTCCACCGGGAGGTGTGTGTCTGCCTTGTAAGTCACGGACTCAGAGACTGCGTTATTCTGTGTGAATATTATTTACCAATATGAAAGACAGTGAAGAAACAAAGCCAGACATGGAGCCCATGAGAAGGCGAGGATGGAGACAGGGCAGGGGTATGAAAACGAGCATTTTTGCTTAGTTTATGGACGCCAGAAACTTGCCATTCTGCCATGAAGCAGGCATGACAGGGCACAAGATAAAGAAGCAGTGCC